AAAAAAAAATCAAAAAAATCTAAGATTACAGCACAAGAGCGAAGTATGGTAGAAGAGCGCTGGACTAGGATATTGGCAAATGCGTTCGAGATCTCACCGTTCGACACTTCAGAGTATGTCAAGTTCTGCGAGGTCTTAGAGGGAGTAGGGAATTCCCGGAAGCGAAAACCGGTGACCAAGCTCTCCAATCGGACAAAGACGGCCTACTGCGAGACGATTCGATAAGCCTAGACCCAAAACTGTGAGCGCCAGGGTCAAATATCAGGGCGACAACCCCTCCTAGCGCACTGTCACATTGTCGCTTGAAACACGTCCGGGGCGTGGCAACAGAGGGAATATCTCCCACACCAAGTGCTACTATGAATGACAGCACAACCTTTTGAGGATGCAAGCGGCAGTAAGGACACCCTTCACTGAAATTAACGATCCACGTTGACTCACATAATGCCGAGGTATCGGTGTAGAATCAAGTGCCTCTTAAGAGGAAGGACAGACTACCTAGCTTCGCGATATGCAATTTTCCATGCAACGAGAGTGGCGAGCGAGGACGTGATCTTCGGGAAGTTGAAGGGAACTTTCAGTGTCCATAGGGACTGCGAATGGTGCCGTAGCCGGCGTTGCGTATCATGGGGGTGCTTTGTATACAGTACCGACGGCCATCCCAAACTGCCGGCTTCCCCAAGAAACTTCCGAATGCTTAGACTCCGACCACTCTACAATCTTTCCTACGGTTACGCTGAAACGGTACGCCGACCTCGAGACCGGTACGCACAGCGACGACACCCAAGTCAACGGCCCCTTAGTTGTCTTTGATGAATTACTTTCGTTTTGGAATAATGACCATGGAGAGTGTGAGTTTCAAGGATGTCTAGTTCACGGAGAACTGATGGTTGTTTCTTGATAGTGTGTATTTTCATGACTTCTGCTTGCGTCACGAAAAGAACTTTTCGCTCCCAGAAAGAAGTGCAAGTGTCGCCGTTCTGATCTTCTTGAGGGGCTGCAGCCTAATGAATAACCCTCATCCCTACGTCATGATACTCCCACGTGACTCCCTGCATTATGAAATCCGGCCTGGGTACCTCAAGTCTGATCCGATAATCTTTCTCAAATAAGTCGAGATGATACCAAAAGCGGCGTGGGAATAATAAATGGTCACTACTACGATATGTGCCTCGAGTACATACTAATATTACGCTGGAATGTAATCAGAAGCTAGGCCTCATCGTTACCTAGACTCGACTTGTCGTCACCATGCTCTGCCAGTTGCAGTCAAAGTCTTAGCATTTAGCTCTGATAAATTCCAGGAATTAAAATCGACTATCTGGGGTTTATATCTAAACATACTTTCCACGAAGGAAATCGAGGTTGGTGAAGCTGTTCCAGGGGTAAGTGTGGTGCGGCAAAGGTACTTCCCAGGAGTAGCGGTGAAACGCTAATACAGTGCGAAAATATTACGTGGTATTTGGGCACAATGATTTACAATATTTTACTGCAGCCACTCAGCCACATCGTGTGGCATAATCAACTAATCTAGATTCGGCGACCGACCTTGGAAGCAGCCGCAGGCTCGTTCTGCTTGAGCACAACTTCATTCTTTCCGTTACATTGATTCTTCCATCGTCCCAGTGCCAACCCTCCAAAATCACTGAAGGTGGCCCCCTGAGCTTAAACGTCATCTTGGCCCCCAATCTCCCCTCAACGATGCATTTCGGCTTCAGTGGAAGGAAAATATAGGAAAGCGGCATATGAAAGGATGAGCGATGAGACACATGGAGTTGGCAGCGACGACAGCCGGGATAATGGGGACGATGAGCGGCTTTTTTGGGAGAAGGGGAAAACGCTCGGTGCGTGATGCTGTCATATTGCTTTTGATGTGCATCTGTGCTGCGTATGAAATGCGTTGACGAAGATCTACAGCTGCGCCTCCCAGACTTTCCCATTCGATCCCAGCCAGTTCCCTTGTTGCTGTCGCACGGCGATAGAATAATCCTAAGACTCCTTGGCATTGGGGGCAAACCGTCCATCATGTACGACGCACGGATCCCGTGATAAGGGGACCATCTCCGTATCTAGGCGTTTAGTTCCAAATAATCGAGGAATTCCCTCGCAGACATCGGCTTGTAGGATCTGATTAACGACAAGAGCGTATCTCCTGGTCGAGAGTAGTCCGGGAACTTCGGCTGCAGTGCGATGAAAGCGGCTTCCCATGCGATTGTCTCAATGAACTCGATCAATCCAAATTCACATCCACCTCGCATCGGCGTAATATCATATATGTCCTTGTGTTCGAGTTCAGAGTTGATATCGTATGTACTCAAATCTGAGGCAACGGCTTTGGCGAACTTGCGGATGAAGCCATCACCTTTCTGTTCGATATCGCTCGCACTCAACTCTTTTCCAGCTGTGTGCGTGGCGTGTTGGACTACAAGTGTCATAGAAAGGCCATACCACCCTTCGTGCTGTGTCCTTTCGCGAGTTTTCCACCCTTTGTCCAGTAGGGTGTGTTTGCGATTGTGAATGTTGACTAATATTTGTTGAGGGACAATCGGCAGAAGATCGAGGTTTTTGAGAACTGCGTCGACGCCACTCGGGGACGTGAGATCGGTCGCTGCCTGCATGCCGAGCCTTGTAGCCAGGATCCTGCAGCTAAGGACTCGGCAGGAATGCCCGTCCGTGTAATCCAACTGGCGGCTCTTGAGTTTGTCCATATATTCCTGTATGCCCATATCTTGCACCTTCTTCACCCAACCATAGGTACTTCCATCCCAGCAAGTCATGAAATGTTTCGTAACCTCGACGAGAATAGGGAGTGTGGTTTCGGCCCGTGCATCGTCTTTTGTCTCGTCCGAGAACGCCATGTTGGGAGACGGGGATGCACGGTGGGGATCTAAATTCGCAAAGAGAATGCTCAATGATGCCAATGCACGCGGAAAGGTCCGCTGATATTGAACGCATGGATGAGTGTATGTGAACCACGGAACCTTTATGAGGGAAATGCTGGTGGGCAGTGCTATTAGTACAGCCTCCTTGGGTAGATGCCTGTAGCACAGCCTCCTTGGGTAGATGCCTGTAGCACAGCCTCCTTGGGTAGATGCCTGTAGCACAGCCTCCTT